GGTACCCCCAGGGGGTTTGCCATTTGCGTTTGATTATGCCCAATTGTCTCATGCCGCCCAAGCCAGTCGCGCATCGGCCCCCGCCCTCATCCCCGTCAAATGCCATTATGCGGGCGCGCCCGTTTATCGAACAAAACGCGTCCCACGACTCCAGGGCGACGAATCAAGTCCCCGCGCGCGCGTCGTCGCGGGCGCATGTTCGCGCCCTTCAAAAACCTCGCAAGGTTCTGCAGGGCTTCGCCGAAGCGTGGGCGCGACTGGCATCGGCGCCGTCGTTGGCTTTGCTGTCGTCATTGCCCTTGTCGTCGCCAGCGTCGACGCTATCATCATCGCGTCCGAAGTCGTCGATGTCGCCGTGGTGCCGCGCCCGCCCGAGTCGCCGACTCGCGCTGAAGCGCCCGCGCGTCAGCGCGGCCTGCGAGACGCGCTGGGGCGCGCCCGGCGGTCGGCGCCATCGCGGCCGCGTCGGTCGCTGCAGACTCGCTTGCCGCTCCGCGCGCGAGCCTGCGGGCGCTTGCGCGGCCGTGGCGGCGTGCGTGCCGGCGCCGAGCAGTCGTCGCCATCTCCGCCGCGCGGGTCCTGCGAACGAGCTGCGGGTCGGTGGGGGGATGTTTGCGCGAGCAGCGGAATGTGCAATTTCAAGGTTGGCAGGCGAATGGCGCCGCGTTGATTGCGTCGCAATTGCTGCGCCGCGCAGATTCTTTGTCCCCGCCCGAGATTCTCGCCCCCCTGGGGGTCGTGCGTTTTAAATGTGGTTTTCAGCATCGCTCATTTTGTGTCTGAGCTTTATACCGTCCCAGCCAGGCTGGTACCCCCCCCTCGCCCCTGTCAGATAACGCTGCGTGCGCGCGCCCGTCTATCAAACTCATCAATGTCCAAAGATCTTCTGCAAGATATGAGACGAAGTCCTCGCGCGCGCATCGTCGCCCGCGCGCGCGCGCTGACCTGCTGCAGACACTGTAGGTTTCGCGCGGATTCCAAGATTGTGGTTTCCGATCGCATGTCTGACTTACCGATGGTTTTGATTCAAGTTTTTTCTGTGTTTTTTGGTTTTGTTTTGTTTTTCTAGGTTGAGAAGGATTGCGCGCTTTCGCTAATGCTTGCGAAGACAGCGGGTTGACGCATTTATCAATGACTTCGTCCGAGCGGGCCACTCGCGCGCGCGTGTCGAAATCATTCGAACGCCTGTGCGCGCTTGCTGGGGGTGGGGTGGGTTGGCGGGGCGGGGTGGGGGTGGGGGCTGGGGTGGGGGGTGGGGGGGGGCGCGCGGGCCACTCGCGCGCGTCGGCCGCGCGCGCGTGTCGAAGTCCTCCCAAACCCTTCGTCGCCGATGCGTGGTCGCCATCGACGTCGTCGGCGTCGCCAGCGTCGGCGTCGTCATTGGCCTTGCCGTCGTTATTTTCGTCGTCGTAACCAGCGTCGCTTTTATCGCCATCGTGTCTGCCGTTGTCGACGTTTCCATGATAAGTCGCCCGCCCGAGTCGCGGACTCGCGCTGGTGTGCACGACCGTGGGCGCCGCCTGCGAGACGCGCTGGGAAGTTCCCGGCAATCGGCGCCACCGCGGCCGCGTCGGTCACGCCGGACTAGCTGGCCGCTGTGCGCGCGAGCTATCGCGCGCAAGCGCGGTCGCAGCGACGCGCCATTCAGCGCCGAGCAATCGCCGCAATCGCCGCAGCGTGGGTTTGGCAAAACAAATTGCGGATGGGTGGGTAGGGTGATTGCGGGGGCAGCGGAGAGGGCGACGCATTCGTGAGCGTTATGCGATTGCGATTTATCCGTTGCGCACTAGATATTGCACCGCATAAATTGCAGCGCGTCGTTGGCGCCGCGTATTTTGCGCGCCGCGTCGATTGCGCCGCATAATTTGCGCACCACGTGCTCCGCTCTAAACGAGTATTTGGATCTCCCCCCCCCCCCCCCACCCCCCCCCAGGAATTAACGGGTCACCTTTTCGTATTGCAATTTGCGCGTGATTCTGCCCCATCGCCAATCCGAAATATGAACCATTTCATCCCAGCTAAACCGGTAACGGTTCTCCCTTGTCCTCTTCAAGAAAACATGATGCGTGTGCGGTCGTTTTCCGCAGATCATCCGTTTGCCAGAACCCCTGGCAACAAAGGGGACGAAGCGCGCGCGCGCTCGTCGTCGCGCGCACGTGCCGACATCTTTCAAACGCCGGAGATTCCGTGAGATTTCCAACGCCGAGTACCACGAAAACATCTCGACATGTTTTCGCGGCGCGGATTTTCGTGCGCTCGCGTTTCTGCAGATTCTACAGACAACTGGAGCTTTGTGTTCGGCATTGTCATACCATTCTACCAATCGGGCCTCTCGCGCGCGCGTGTCGCAATCGTTCGAACGCCCTTGCGCGCGTGTTGTCGCAAGAATCATTTGCGAGAGGTGCGATGAAGCGCGCGCCTCGTCGCGCGCGCATGCCGACATTTTTCAAAACCGTTTTTTTCGTGAGGCTTCACAAGCGAGTGTCTCGAACACAAATAAAAACAAGCAGTTTGGCAACGTGAGTTTTCAAAGAA